TTCTTGGACGTTAGTCTGGGGTGCCGTCTGCCATTAGGTGTGCTAGCTGCTCCCCCTGCCGATCTCCACAAAGGATGTGAGGACTCTAAAACTTCACCAGGGCCTCCATCGGCATATGGGTGAGTAGATAATAGCTGAATTTTCATTTTTGGGTGCACTATCCCTTTAAGTCTTTGGCGCTGCTGGAAGGGTTGTATGTGAAACATCTGAGCAGGAAGTGTTGAGTTTCAGTGTAGCTTAAAGGAATAGAGTGTTCCAGGGGTGATGGTTTTCTGTAGGCCGATGCCGAAGTTAGCATAACCCTGGTTCCCCCGTCAAAAAGCCTATTGGATTTTTCCATTGGATTTTTGATTATTCCAGAAATAAACTCTGGCAAATAAGCGTTTAACATACTTGCACATTACACACACGCACGCAAGATAATGTTCACAAATGAACACCACTTTTATGATTATTGATGTCTAAATGCAATTGCCAGAGGTAAAAAGCTAACGTTAGGCTATAAACAAACTACACTACAGTCACATGACTAAACATCACCACCACAATGAGGCTGCAAAGCCGTGGTCAGTATGATGACGCTCTGTAGTCTCATTTAGCCACTTATGAGCAACTGCCTTTTTTAAGACACATAAAAGCTTCAAAATTCACAGTGGGGTATTTACTTACGTATTTTTCTCTTCAGCTTGTGTGAATCACAGACCTTATTTCAGACATCTAACCAAAAATGCATTCAAAAAAATCCACTGACTTTGAGACAAGGGAACCAGGATTGCTAAAATGCTAATTTTTTTCCGTGTTTTAGGACTCATTTCAGGGGGACTCTGTAGTTCATCCCATACTGATATAAACCTCTGCTCTCTTTGGTACCAGAGAAAGTTTTCTATCAAGTGGCATTAAGCACAACGAAGCACCTGAAAAAACGTAGGGCTGTAGTCAACCAACGAAAATCTGTGTCATCTGAAGTCGTACATAATCTTCAACTAATTGGTTAGTCGTGGGAAAAAAAAAAAAATTGGCTCCATTACAACTCACAACATTCACCAACAAAACAACTGTCTTATACTAAACATGTTTTCCAAGCAAATACAACATTACGATGTTATTAGCGCCAGCCTATGGTATTTTACATTGTATAAATTAGCCTAGCGACAAGCGGAGATTTCCTCTATTCATATGAAGCCATGAAGTATAAATCCCTAAAGGATAAATCACACACAAGACTTAAAATGTCTTCACAATTTATCAATTCTTATCTGTTAAATACAAGTAAATACAGGCTTTGTTTCCACTGAGGTGAACAATGTCAGTATACAGAAACAGACAGGAGGTCTGCTTTACCGCAATGCTGAGTGTTAAAGGAGATTTATGGTTGTGCGTAGACCCTACGCACGTCGCCTATGCCATTGTGAGCATTTTTACTTCTGCGGTGGTGTGTCTGTGTCACTCTGCAGTTACACCTCCAAAACACTAGTCGGCGGATTCTGTGAAGTGCTGTAAAGCTTAGTTGATTCAAAACACACCCAAAACATACATTAAATATAGCTTAATAGAGACAGTTTGAAAAACAAGTACACAAATTGGCTTCACTACAACTCGCAGCATTCACAGACTCCGGACACATTTTCCCACAGATACAACATGCTAACGTTATTAGCATAAGCCTACGGCATTTTACATTGTATGAATTAGCCTAGCAACTAGCCATCTTTTCCTCTTGTCATATAAAACCAGGGACAATGGCAACATTTAACAAAGGTACTGCACACAGTTTGGCTCCATAAAAACTCACAAGGTTCACTGACAAAACAACTGTCCTGTATTAAACACGTTTTCCAAACAAATACAAAATGCTAACGTTATTAGCACAAGCCTATGGTATTTTACATTGTATTGATTAGCCTAGCGGCCAGTGATCTTTCCCTCTTCCCATATGAAACCTGGATAAATCCCGGCGTATAAATCCCTGAAGGATAAGTCACACACAAGACTTAAAATGCTATTTTAGTGGAGGCTTTACTGTCACAATTTATTGTTTCTTATCTGTGAACTAAAAGTAAATACAAGCTCCTTTTTCACTGAGGGAAATGGTGTCAGTATACAGTGCCAGACAGGAGGTCTGCTTCACTGTAGTCTGAGTGGGCGGAAGTTCGCTGCATAGATCAACCTCTCATTGGGCGGAACGAGCCACCCACTGAAGTCCCACCCTACCACCTCCGGTTGTGTAGCAGTTTTCAAACTTTCAACACGTCCTTCACTAACTTTTGCGGTGTTTGATCTTGCAGGGATGTAGCCATTTTTCTGCCATGGTTCGCGTCCTGTAGGCGATATTTTTGTGGGCGTGTTACACCAAAACCTGTTTCCCCCCCGGCAATATTTTTGCAAGCGCACCGTTGCTGCGTTGCTGTGGCACCGCCCAGAACGATTGTGATTGTTGAAAGAAATACAAGCAGCCGGGGTGTTTTTTTCTCCAATCTTAAAGTGAGAGTCGGCCCAGCCAGAACTTTCTTTTCTTGAGAAAGGTCTGGTGAGCGAGACTAGCTTCACTGCGACGCTTAGTTACAATTCTGGGGAGGTGCACGTTAGGCTATGGTGTAGGCTACAGCGTAGGTTACGGCGTAGGCTCCAAATCGATGCGGAGCCTACGCCGTAACCTACGCGTCGATTCAACACAGAACTATAAATTACGTGTTAGGGTGGGCGAGTTCAACGTTGTGTAAACAAAGGGGTTTTTTGAAAACACCCCCATTTTCACAGGTAACTTAGCCTGTCCCTGCAGGAAATAATGGATTAATCCTGGAAAGCTATTGATGTAGCACTTTTCTCCTTATGAAAGTAAGTGATTATTCGACCAATGAGAATTTGGTCAGACGAGAGCATATCGACCAAATAATCGACCAGTCAACCAGGAGACTACAGCCCTAGAAAAACAACAGCATATCAGTGCAAACAGATGGAGGCTGGTTTAAGACAGCAAAAAAAATTACAAAACAATCCAAAAAACTTTCTGAAAATCCTTATGCAGAATTGTCCAAGTGTCTTTTATCCAGTTGTGGGCTCATTAAAGTCAAAATATAGCTTTTACAGCTTTTTTTTCCCGAGTGCGGCACCACTGCTGCTCACCGCTCCCTCAGGGGATGGGTCAAATGTGGAGAACAAATTTTACACACTCAGGTGTGTGACAATCAGTGGAACTTTAATATTTAACTTTAATCTTTTTTTGCCATACTATTGCTAAACAAAGCATGTTGTGGATTATTCTCCTGTGAAGGACTTGTGCACATTAGTTCAATGTTTGAGCATTCATTATGCCTCCACACCGGCAATAGCCGTGACTGGAGGCATTTTTTTACATACGTACGTCTGTCCCACAATATCTCAAGAGCACCTCAAGAGAATTTCTTCAAATTTGGCACAAATGTCCTATTGTATTCAACATAAAACTGATTAATTTTTGGTGGTCAAAGGTCAAGGTCACTATGACCCTGCATCTCTCTATTTTTTTGTGAACGTGTTATTTCAAGAACACCTTTCAGGGAATGTCTTTTTATTTGACACAAACATCCGCTTGGACTTAAGAATAAACTATTCGAATTTTGTGGTCATTAAATGAAGTGATGACAGTTTATATCCATAAGGTCAAAGGCTAACTTCACTGTGACATCATAATGTTCTGCGTAAAACACTTTTCTGGCCATTATTCAGTGTCAAATCTCAGGAACAAAAGGGGCGACATTTGGTGAATTGGTGACACTCATCTCGGGTGTCCACCTTGAAACTGTGCTGATTGTATAGATCATCTGTGCTGTGGGGGGGGAAATGTGTGTGAAACATCCATGTTTTCATAAACGTGAATATAACCCTAAGAGGAACTTGACTGGTGCACCGAGGCCACGGGGTCGTAATTCTAGTTTCAAATAAAGAACTGGTTCACTCTGCAGGTGAGGCCCCATTTGCAGTATATTTCTGTCCAAAGCGTGGTCGTCTCAGTAGTGCTGCAGCCCACAGAAATAAAAATCAATCAATCAATCAATTTTATTTATAAAGCCCAATATCACAAATCACAATTTGCCTCACAGGGCTTTAGAGCATACGACATCCCTCTGTCCTTTGGACCCTCACAGCGGATAAGGAAAAACTCCCAAAAAAAACCCTTTAACGGGGGAAAAAACGGTAGAAACCTCAGGAAGGAGCAACTGAGGAGGGATCCCCTCTTCCAAAACGGACAGACGTGCAATAGATGTCATACAGAACAGATCAGCATAATAAATTAACAGTAATCCGTATAACACAATGAGAGAGAAAAAGAGAGAGAGAGAGACAGAGAGGGAGAGAGATGCAGGACAGATGGTAATGACAGTAGCTTACAACAACATTAATGAAAGTAATAATATTATAATTATAGTTCTGGCTACTGTGATACAATATGTTGAAAGTATATATTAATATCTGACAGTGTACATATGTGGCAATAATCATATGTGTATAATAACAGCAGAAGTATGACTAATGATGACAGCAGCGGCAGGAGACATCTGGCAGGACCACAGCAGCAGCACAACCACACACGTCACACTATCCAGGCACTGCTGTAATATGAGTTAACCTAAGAGATAGTGGAGCACAAAGGCTCTGGAGAAGAAGCCGAGTTAGTGACGTCCAGAATGGCCGAGTTAGCAAGATGCAGTAATTGCATACGAGAGAGAGAGAGAGAGAGAGAGAGAGAAAAGAGAAGGAGAGAAAAGGAGAGAAGGTGCCCGGTGTATTATAGGGGGTCCTCCGGCAGACTAGGCCTAAGTCAGCCTAACTAGGGGCTGGTACAAGGCAAGCCTGAGCCAGCCCTAACTATAAGCTTTATCAACGAGGAAAGTCTTAAGTCTAGTCTTAAATGTGGAGAGGGTGTCTGCCTCCCGGACCGTAACAGGAAGATGATTCCACAGGAGAGGAGCCTGATAGCTGAAGGCTCTGGCTCTGATCTACTTTTGGAGACTTTAGGGACCATGAGTAACACTGCATTCTCCGAGCGCAGTGTTCTGGTGGGATAGTAAGGCACTATGAGCTCTCTAAGATATGACGGAGCTTGACCATTTAGAGCTTTATAAGTTAACAGTAGGATTTTAAATTCAGTTCTGGATTTTACAGGGAGCCAGTGCAGAGAAGCTAAAACGGGAGAAATATGATCACGTTTCTTAGTTCCTGTTAGTACACGTGCTGCTGCATTCTGAATTAGCTGGAGAGTTTTTAAGGACTTACTAGAGCTACCTGATAATAGACAGTTACAGTAATCCAGCCTTGAGGTAACAAAAGCGTGGACCAATTTTTCTGCATCTTTTCGGGTCAGGATAGGCCTAATTTTCGCAATATTACGCAGATGAAAAATGCAGTCCGTGAGGGTTGTTTTAAATGAGAATTATAAGACAAATCTTGATCAAATGTTACTCCGAGGTTTCTTACGGTAGTGGTAGAGGCCAGAGCAATGCCATCTAGAGAAACTATGTCATCAGATAAAGAGTCTCTGAGTTGTTTGGGGCCAAGAACAATAACTTCAGTTTTGTCTGAATTTAACATCAGGAAATTGGTGCTCATCCAGGTTTTTATGTCTTTAAATGAGGGCAGAATGGACACTGAAGGACTATCCAGCCACCTGTACTGTAAAATCCTGAAGGTCATATGATCTTAAGGATGTAAAGGCTTCAGCACCCAAACTAATACTGATTACACCGTCTGTTAGCTTCATCTTTATTGAGCCATTTCAAACGCACTCTAGTTTCATAGCCCTGCTTTCTGTGTTTAAATGTCTGACAGAAATGTTACTACTGTAAGAAGCGGATGAAGAAGGCGTCTGGCTGCTGCGTGCAGTGCTCTCATGGCCGCTGTCCCACTGCCTACCACCCCACCTGTGCCCAGGCTGCTGGAGTACTCATGCAGCCAGATGAATGGCCCTTTGTGGTCCATGTTACCTGCTGTCGCCACAAAGGCCCAACTCAAATTGAGGTAAGGAGCTTTTTAGAATCTGTTAACGTCTTCTTTAAGTATGCACTGTTAACTAGAGATAAACCTTTTTCCACTTTTTATCAGCCAGTTCTATTTTCAAGTGTCCCAAATTGTAGGAACAGAGGCAGTGTAAACATCAGTAAGTCATGGAAATGAGATTTCCTGAATCTCCTCGACAGCGCAATAAAGCAGTCATGCATGAGCTGACTGTGGGACAGAAGGTGATATGCAAGCACAAGAATGGCCGCTACTACCAGTGTGATGTGGTGCAGCTGTCTAAAGAGACGTTTTACGAAGTCAACTTTGATGATGGCTCCTTCAGTGACAATCTCTTTCCTGAAGACATTGTGGTAGGTTTCACTGCTTTATCTCTATCATGTCATTTATAAGAAAATCCAAAAACCAAACACAGTAAAAATGTAGAATCTGAAACCTATGATGGAAAACTTCACCCACAAAAAGACCATTTGTATAACAGTTACACACAGTGTGTTTCCTGTGAAGAAAACATTGTTTTACTTGTATGCCTCCACAGTGAACGAAGAATCCAAAAAACAGAGAAAACTCTTCATGAATTGAAGTAAATAGGGGCCACGTTCAACAATAGCAAAACTGTATCAAAACATCCTTTTACAAACTCTCATACAATTTCTTCAGTATAATTCAAGTCTTATTAATCCATGGGTATATACTCAGTACTCCCCAAACAAATTCATTTTTGCTAAAACATTACAGTTCAAAACATGACAGTACAAACAGTCTCATGCATGGCAGAGTAGCGTGCCTGGGCACATTCATGTGTTTAAACTCTGCTGAAGTGGAACTCGTATGCATGCAGGAGCTCAGGCACGCTAAGGGCACAGTGCTTAGAAAAGGAAGCGTTTTAAATCTTAATGTTTTCATGAAAATGCATGTGTTTGGGAAGTACTGAGCATAGAGCTGGATAAATAAGACTTACCATTTTGTGGGTGACACATTCTTTTTTAAAGTATTAAGAAGTTAACTTGGTAAATTTGGACCCACTATGAGGGATTGTCCATTTATATTTACATTACTGCCCACTTAAGTATTCATGTACAACTATGACATTTTCTGTACTGTTCTCTACATCAGAGACATAATTTGTTGTACTGTATAGCACTGACTTTCATGACAAAACACATGTTGTAGTTTTGTATTGATAATATCCTAAATTCTCAAGTGGCTGCCTTTATTTACCTCAGTGGATTGTCTGTCCATCCATACATACACCCCATCCGCCTGAGGGAATTTCTTCAAATTTGGCACAAATGTTGACTTGGACTGAAGAGTAAACTTATTAGAATGTTGTGATGAAAGGTCAAGGTCAGTGTGACCTCACAAAATATGTTGTTTTGCCATAACTCAAGAATTTATAAACTAATTTATAAACTTCACACAAATGTCTAATAGGATGAAATAATGAAATGAGGACATTTTACATCCCAAAGGTCAGCTTCACTGTAACATAATGTTCAGTAACACTTTACTTGAAGGTATCTACATAAGGGTGACATGACACTGTCATAACTATGACATGACGCAGTCATGAACTTGTCATAAACATTATACATGTCATAAACGTTTATGACTGCTGTCATTAAGTGTCATTCGACTTCGGTAATGACAAGTTGACATTATTTGGGTTGTCTTGATTATGACAACTTGACATTAATTAAAGTGACATTACCAGCAGTTGTCTTTGTCATGACAAGTTGACATTAAATTTGTTTGGGATGTCCTTATTATGACAAGTTGACATTAACCGGGATGACATTACCAGAAGATGTCTTTGTCATGACAAGTTGAGATTGACAAAAAAAAAAAAAATGCACCTCTTTTTGTGTGTATGACAAGGTGACATAATAATTATTATAATTAGATGTAATTAGATTAGAGCGCATGCGCCCGCGCGTGCAGCCTGTTGCAGTCGCTCCTGCTTGTTTTCTCGGTTTTCTTACTTTTTTGCTTTATTAAGTTTGGTATTTGTGCTNATAATCTAAATACACACACACACACACACACACACACACACACACAAACAACAACAGCAACAATAACAACAAGTCATATATATGTATGTATATACATATATATGTATATATGTATAAATATGACTTAAGTCTTAAATTTCTTCCTAGCCTTTGATTATGATTGCAGCCTGCATGACTGCTGCTATTGTTGTTGTTGTTAATAAAAGCAGCAGTAATACCAGCTGTAGCACTAGAACGAACAGTAGCAGTAGACTAATGACAGTGGCCATAGAAGCACAAGTTGTTTACACTTGCTGTTAACAGTAGTCGTGGCAGTTCTACTAGTATGAGCAGTCAAAGTAGTTTTGCGAAAATAGGACCGACGGGGTTCAATTGAGCGGAGGGACACAACCGTGCTGCGGCCATGAATGCCTTGGGATCCAGCGGAGAAACACAAGTATGGATGGCGGCGGTGATGCGGTTCAGTGTTCCACTGTTTTCTCATGCTGAGAGCAAAGAGACTGACGCTTGAGCGGGTGGAGACTGCTACACATTTAAATCCCCCGGGTCAGTTTTTCAGCGTTTAGCAACAAACTACTTTTCCTTTTTTATTTTCTTTCTACCGTTGGACTCTTCAGAACTGGTTTAATGTCGTAAATGACAGGTCTGTAAGGGCGTCGTTGTTGGGAAGTTTTTTCGAGGGGGGGTTTTGACCAGCAAAGAGCCATGGCAGTCGAGGCTCGGCCGGAGCTGGTCGGGAAGCGGTTCCTCTGTGTCAGCGGGGACGAGCCGCCTGAAATCGGCGACATCGGTCGGTGGCCTTGGAGGTCCGGGGTCATACGAGCCGTTAACCATCGTGACAGCGACAATCCCGATCTGACGGTAAGGGAAACGCTGACTTTGTCCTCCTCTTTGGTCTGTTACATGCAAAGCAAATGGGAAAATCTCTGTGGTTGGTGGCTAGCCAGCGAGGCAATGTTGTAGGCTTGCCAGGCGGAAATTATTTTGTGGCTTTCTCTTAGTTATTATGGCTTTTAGGACCAATGGGTAGGGTATAGCGCTGGTATTTATCACAGTTTCGCCAAAATATTTGTCATTGTTGCGTTTACAACTTTGACTAGTTAGTTATTTGCCCTCTTAACTTGCAAGTTAATGGGAGACAGACTGCCAGTAGGGGGTTATGGAAAGCAAACAGCTAGCGGTGTTCAGACACTGTGCTTATTTACATCAAAACCTTCTAACTTCTCGCACTCGTAAACCATTTACTGTGGCTCAGACAAGCCTCCATGTTTTCAGATTCAGTAAGTGCTAAGAATGGTAAAATCACAGTGGGTTTCACACAGACATCGTTACACTGTTTCCACCAGCCTTAAGGGACAATGTAAAGCGTTAATTTCAAAATAATCTACGTGTCAACGATAAGAAAACACCTGGCAGCATTTGAACTAATATCGTAATGTCCGGCTGTAGCGGCTGCATTTGTAAAAGCATGTGTAGGAATTTGAGTCCCGAGCAGCTAAATGCTTTAATCTGCTGTATACTGCAAATCAGCTGACGGAGGTATGGTTAGCTTTCTAGATTTACCCCTGCGTTGCAGCCTTCACGTTGAGCTAATCCCTATTATCTCGTGGTTATTGGTCACAATCCACAGTATTTGAGTGTGATAGTCGACCATAAAGCTCCGTCTGCCTGTATTTTTCTGGCGGACAACAACCCCTCCGACTTGGACGGGGAGGCAGGAATGCTGGGGACTTGTAAAAACATAAAAGTGTCTTGCTGCAGGCTGAACAATGGGCAGTTTGTCTTTATGTAAAATATTGTCTACGATTTCAAGACAACTCCATGGTGTCACTTGTGGGGTTTTCTTGAGCAGACATATTTCCTGATTGAGGTGTAATTATTGCTCTCTTACTACAGTCAGTAGGAAGGCAGGGGCTGCTGGAAATCTTGGCAATATATTGCTCTGAATTCCCCCCCTTCCTTATAAAAAAAGCCATTTTCATAATGGCAAACATGCCAAAACCAGCAAACAATGAAATATTTGTCCTGATAAGCCCTTGGCTGGCAAATATACAGTACTGTCTCACTGTACTGTGTGCCTGTTCCCCGTTTTCTTTTGTTCACTGCATCCTTCTATCTGCCTATACAGATTACAAGCCAAACCCCAGCACAGTTCTGATTTGATTATTTAGTGTGATTTTTGTGTACATTATGTGCTATTTCTCAAAGACCATATGCCATTAGACATGACATATCTGATAGGGTTATTCACTGTATATGATTTAATGTGGAAGTCATCTACGGTAATACAGTTCTTTTGTGTATATTAAAGCATACAAGTCACAAATCCTTCTCACATGTCACTGACTGCTCATTGCGCTCTCTGTGCGATGCAGACAGGAGATAAATGTCAGGTTTCACTGCTTCATAGCTTTCTGTTGTTCTGCCCTTCACTCATGCATTCATGCAAGTTGTCTGTCTATTTTAGACAGGAACGGTGAGGTGACATAAGTCCACCTCACGATTCCCGTGTCAAAGCTAAACACCTCTCTCATGTGTAATTGCATGCTCCCTCATCTACGCAGCATATCGCATGTACTTGTTTTTGTCGCGCAACAAACATGCTCCCAGATTCCCTAATTCCCTTGTAGAATTGGTCCTTGTGTGTGATGTGATTTAGGCAGTGAGTAGTGTTCTGGTTTAATTCCATACAATGGGGCACAGTCTCATTAGCAAGGGGCTTAACTAGCTGAGTGAATACAGTGGAGAAGGATTGGAGATTAGATTAGAAGAAGTGTGTCAAGCCAAGCTGTCAGGCCTTTGTCAAGTGGATGTGGTCAGATGGGCCAGTAGTGCAGGAGTGTAGTGGGCTAGCAACGGCTCACTGGGGCTTTTTGCTTCACAGTCGTGGATCTTAATAGAAAAATAATGCAATGTACAGTCAATGAGTGAATGCGTATGATTTGATATAGAGATCAGTCTGAGATTACCAGCAATGAAGCATCAAAAATGTAAAATCTGTTTGGTTAAATCAGCAAGGGTTATCCATCATGCTGGTTTGTAGCTTTTTAAGACAAAAACAATTTATTTCTTGGTTATACAAAATTAACTCACCACACCAACTGTTCTCTAATAGCTAAGTAGATTTTTTTTCCTTGTCTAAAATAACAGTGAACTGATGATTTTGGACATAGCAAGTAATTTGAAGATATCATTCAGTTTTTAGTGCACATACTATCATGTCTTTTGAGTACTCTGTACCTATAAATACATATATAATTTACGTTTATGTTTGTTAATAATTCCTGTTTATTTAACTATATATTTGTTAATACTATTGTTTAAATTTCTTATATTTT